TTTGGATAGTTTCTTGGAGAAGAAAGCCAAAGGCACGGTAGAATCCGGCAGACTTTGTTGAAGAACCGCGCCAACAGCAACATTGGAGGCATCGACCATCAAAGATATGGGTGCATCAGCGTGAAAGTGAGTCAGGAGGGTGGCGTCAGCCAGAAGGTCTTTTACCTGCTCAAATGACGTGAGTGCGGCTGATGTAAGTTCAAAGGTGCGTTTGGGACCTGAGAGGAGATCGGTCAGAGGTAGGATGGTATCGGCACAGTTCGGGAGAAACCGGCGATAAAAGTTCACCATACCAAGAAACCGTTGCAACTGACGCTTCGAGGTAGGGGGTGGAAAGTCCCGAATGGCGGCAACCTTTGAGAAAAGAGGCCGAATGCCGTGGGAGTCGACCAGATGACCGAGAAATTCTAGGGAGGGCACACCGAAGACGCACTTGGACGGGTTGAGAACAACGCCAAATTGTTGAAGGCGGTCAAACACCGTTGCCAGATGCTCCATGTGTTCTTCGGCGGTGGAGCTGGCTACCAGAAGGTCGTCGATATAGGCGTAGACAAATGGTAAGCCGCGAAGCACTCTGTCTACGAACCTTTGGAAGGTCTGGGAGGCGTTGCGAAGTCCAAACGGCATGCGCAGGAACTCAAAGAGGCCAAAGGGGGTGGCAACGGCCGTCTTTGAAACGTCCTCTGGGGCTATGGGAATTTGGTGGAAAGCACGGACCAGATCGATCTTCGAGAATACGGACTTGCCGAATAGGGCACCGGCAAAATCCTGAAGATATGGGACAGGGTAGCGGTCCGGGACAGTGACGTTGTTCAGGGCCCTGTAATCACCGCAGGGGCGCCAGTCACCAGTGGCGGCCTTTGGAACCATGTGGAGAGGTGAGGCCCATGGGCTTTCAGACTGGCGGATGATGCCCATTTGAAGCATGTGCTCGAATTCGGCCTTGGCGGCAGCAAGACGTGTAGGCGCGAGACGGCGGGGGCGGGAAAACACGGGAGGGCCAGTGGTCCGAATGTGGTGAACAACGTCATGCGGTGGAATAGAAACGTTGAAGTTGGGGCGAGTGAGGCCGGGGTATTTGGCGAGGAGTTGCCGAAATGGATTCTCGGGTTCAGGGTCCAAGACGGCAAGATGACGGGAAGCGTCAGAGGAGGAGATACCCCGGATAGTGAGGTTGGTGGTCTTGTCGTGTAGACGTGACTGACGGCAGTCGACCAGAAGATCGAAAGCGGCGAGGAAATCTGCACCGAGAATTGCACAGGGGATGTCAGCAACGACGAAGACCCAAGGGAAGAGACGTCGGAGACCGATGTCCAGAGAGAGGGAGCAGGTGCCAAATGTGGTAATCGGCGAGGTGTTGACGGCCTGTAGGAAAAGACCGGGATTGGGGCACCGACGATCAGCTGGTGTGGGTGGAATGACACTTAGCTGGGCATCAGTGTCAATCAAGAAACGTCTGCCACTCCGGGTGTCGCGGACGTAAAATGTGCGCCCAGGGTTAGAGCTGTTGGGAAGATTGGTTGCACAGATCTTCGGGTTGACCGGTTTAACCCGTTTGCTCTGCTTGGAAGTGAAGGAGCAAGGAGAGATGCAGCGACGGGCTTTAGCACCGAAGGTGGTGTGGTACCAGCAGGTGGCAGCTGCATTTGGACGGGCTGAATGTGAAGACTGGACATGCGGGGTGGACGGCTGCGGTTGGCTCCGAGATGAGGCAGAAACTGTGGGCTTCTGGAGAGCGGCTATATCATCGGCCAGCTTGTTGAGCTCGATCTCTAACTGCGAAATGGGAGACGCAGGAGGAGTTGAGGGAGTTGAGAGGGCTGAAATAGACGGCGTGGAAAAACCGTGCATCTCCATAAGCCGATCAGCCATCTGAGTAAGTTGCGCGGCCGAAAGAATGCCGAAGACGGGTGCCAAAATATGCTGCACTTCCGGTGGAAAAGTGTCCATGATCAACACCTGACTTTATCGTAGATTAGGGAGAAGGGGTGCTGTTCGCAAGGGGTCACCAATTGTCGAAAGTTGTGTGCTCGACACGATAAAGATTCCCAATCAAAAGTCAGGGAAGACAGTTTGAGTTGGACAAACTTTACTGCTTGGAAAGCGTGTACACAAAGGCTGTGTAGGCAGTCGCCGCAAGCGCGCTCCAAGCCAGCTGTTGTCTGCGTCCGCCCTAGAGGTGTTGTGTCCGCGTGTGTGTGCGCCCTTCGTTGTCTCAACCTCGCCAGCCAATCAGAGTGGGGACAGCGTTGATTGGCTTCGGGCACTCGCGCACCCCATCAGCGCATCGACAAGGAGTGTGAGGCGGACAGGAGGGCAGCGTGACAAAGGCGGAGAGCGAGGAGACGCGAACTGCTACACATCGATTTCCGCAAAGCTTTCGATACTGTTCCGCACCAACGCCTTCTTCACAAACTGAACGTCACTGGCATCCGGGGAGATCTTCTGAACCGGATAAGGGCATTTCTAGTTGGTCGGAAACAGCGTGTCTGTATCGGAGATGATATGTCAGAATGGGTGAACGTGACCAATGGTGTGCCTTAAGGCTCAGTTCTGGAACTACTGTTCTTCATCCTTTATGTTAATGACAGCCTTCAGGAGCTGGACTGCTGCAAAATAATTTTTGCCGACGATGTTGAGCTCTGGCAAGTCATTAAGAGTCCTTACGATCAGAGAACTCTCCAAAACAATCTGCATCGACTGCAAGCGTGGTCGGAGAAATGGCTTCTGGATTCCAATGTAGAGAAGTGTGCCGTCCTCCATCTGCGTACAGCCGACTCTCATTCAAATGAGAGCCTGAGGACATATCACCTGAATGATATAAGTCTCCCCGCAGAATCTTCACAGAAGGATCTCGGGGTTTGGATACAGAACAACATGAAACCAACACTGCAGTGCCACAAGGCTGCAAAAATGCCATGGGAGTGCCTCATGCAATCAAAAGGACGTTCGTAACCTTTGACCAAGGCCTTTTGGGAGAGTTTACGACACCTTTGTTCGGACCCACTTAGAATATGGCCTACGAGCATGGCGGCCGTGGCAAGTAAAGGACCAAGCATGCCTTGAAAGGGTACAACCTCGTGCAGCGAAGCTGGTAAACGGTCTAAATAGTGCTTGCAGCCTAGCGTGAGTTGTGAAATTTGTGCCAGTGCACATATTGTTATGTGACTTATGGGCTTTGCAGGCCAAAACTAATTTCTAAAGCTTTGACTTAACGCCTTTCATTCATTATCTGGCCAGGTCCTGTTTAGCGTTCCTGCAGTTGGCACGCGGTTTCAGTAAAATCACTAACTGTTACTCAACCTTTCCGAATTATCGCACGCAGCTTTGATTTCAGCTAAAACCTTCACCACTTAAACTTTTTCTTGAACACCTGCAGTGCTCCCGCTGTCTACATATTTTCACTAATTATATCCATCTTACTGGCGATGTAACAAGTCGAGTTCGGTGGCTATTCGTCTTTTTGACATATTTTCACTAGGCTCCAGAGAGAAGGCTGCAAATGAACCTAAATAACCTAAAGGAATGTTCACTTCGTTGGCTTATGTGGTTCAAAGTCGCTCCGGGTATTCCTTCCAGATTCGTCACCATTGGAAATTGCTAACTCAACGATGCAATCTTGCAAGATGTGTAAATTCAAAAAGATCCCGGTGTGTCGACGACAAACTCCTTAACATAGTCCGCTCATTCCTCGACATCGGGAGGAGCGTAATGTCCGCACGATACGCCACCAAGACAGACCTCACGGATTTTTAGGAAGGTCAATTCTTCAAGATCTTTGAAGTATTCATAAGACTGCACAAAAATACGCCACACACACCTGGAGACAGTGGACAGTTAAAGATCAGAATAACCTTAAAAGAATTCAAAGCAAGGCATAAAAATTGTAACGGGTACAAAAATCTTGCCCTATGCAGCATGCTTAACACGTCAAAATATACAACACCTTATTTATGAGCAAATACACGTTGATTTATTATAAGCAGCCTGCATTGTGAAAAGACTGGATTGCAGCCTACCTTAAAGGAATACTTTCGCTTTGGCAGTTTGGCCGACGCCCGAGGTCACGCATCAATATTATACGTTCAGTCGGTGAGCCGGGATGTGCAAGCATTCTCGCTCTCTGTCAGAGTGATAAAGCCATGGAATGCCCTCCCCGAAGATGTTTTCAGGCGAGGCTTGGAAAGGTACCCTGATAGGTTTATGTTGTGAAGTTCTCATAGTTCTCAAGTTCTCATAGTTCTCATATTATCAGGATTTTGTTTGAACTATTACAGTCCATGTGGTTTTAATGCGCACTGAACCCAAATTTACGTTGTAAATGAGATCTTCAAAGACTCTCACGCACTTCCCCTAATAAAGTGAATTGAACTGAACTTATAAATAATTGCACGCCCGTAAATTATTTCTCAGGATTTTGCATGGTTGTTCAAGTTGCAGACTATGCAGAACCCATAACTTTAGTTTGCCTGAGTAATACAGCACAGTAAGATTCCAAAGATACTAAAATATTGTGCTTGAGTTATAACCTATAACATTAAATATGTAACTGTTGAAATGTCAAACAAAATTTTGCGGTAGTACTAATAGGTTTTTAGTACGCTAAAATCAGAGCGGGACAGACGGCTTTGGTCTTATTTTCGCAGACTGTCTTTTGCAATGGTACATGCTAAGTTACGACACTTCAGGGAGCATTTTGCCCTTAACAATCGCATCAAAGAGTTTTCTGGTTATGGGGGCAAAATCCATGCACTTGGATGGAATAATGCAGGCTCTAAATTGGCTTCTGCTTCATCAGACAAATCTGTCAACGTCTATTCACTGGATTCCACCCGACTGGTACTTCACGATACATCTAACAGTGCCAGACGAAACTGCAATCGTTCAGGGGACATACTGAAAGCGTTGACCAGCTTGCATGGCATCCTAGCGACAACGACATTCTGGCAACTGTCGGTGCTGACGGGGCAGTTCGTCTTTGGGACTGTCGGTCGAAAAAGATGCCAGGAACAGCTCAACTAAAAGGAGAAAATATAAATATCGCTTGGTCGCCGGATGCGCGCACAATTGCTGTCGGCAACAAAGCAGACTTGGTACGTTGATGATTTTGCGTCAGCGTTATTCACGACACTTAGTTGACGACGACTTTACTCATCTAAGACGGAGTTATTCCTGATTGTACATGTATTGCAGGTTCTAGAGAGTTGTAGACATCGAATGCCTATGGTTATATTCGTGTTAATTGAACTTCGCAAGGTTCTCCAGTCTTTATTTCCCTTTTCTTTGCAACTTTTTCACATTGTGACAAAAGTGTTGATCCTGTGGTCAAGCCTCCAAAGACATGTTGTCCTTATCCGTAACCATATCAGACCTTTGTACTAAGCCACGTCAAGTAGTTTAACTTATGACAGTTATTCATTTGGATCACTTCGTATTTTCCACTCTCTTTATTAACACTCCAAGTAGTGCACGTTTGAGGGCTTTTAACCAATTCTTTATTTTCCCAGATTACATGGCTCGATGTTCGTTCTGGACTGTCACAAATCCAGTCAGAACAATTTAATTTTGAAATCAATGAGTTCGCGTGGAAGCCGTCCGGAGATGTTTTCTTGTTGGCTACAGGCCTGGACAGCATCTTGGTTTACAGGTACTGCCTTTTTACCCGTTCTAGAAAAAAAACCAGGAGTTATTTATCACTCCTACTCGATTATGCAGTTAACTTGACGTGGTTTAAAAAGCCGTGAAAGCAGTTCTTTTGTCTGGCTGGCGTTCAGTGATTGCAACGACAGGCGATCGATAACCCTGCAAAAGGCGGGTAAATCCTGACAAATTATAAGGTGGCTGCTGGAACACAAAGTACTATGGCTTGGTCGTATAAGTTTCATCGTCCGCGCTGCAATAAGGATAAAACGACTGTTAGAATTTTTATTTACCAACAGTCCTCATTTTTCCCTGCATATATCTACTTGATGCTGTGAGAATTAATTGGAACATTTTCTCACTGTGACACTACCAAACTTGCATGACTACCGAACTGTGGATGATGACTCTGTCTTTAAATCTACTTTTCAATTGGGAAAGAGGGCCGGTCGCCCTCAGTACCATGACATGTCTGTTTATTTTCATATGCTGTTAGAGTGTTCGCGACCAAGGGGAGAAAAAGACCAAGCCGAGGCTCGATCTGGCTGTTTTAGTTCACTTATGATCTTTGACAGTCGACAGCACCGTGTTTTATATCTTTTTTCGACATCCTTGCACAATCTTACGGATACGCTGGCAGCTGTGCATTACCTCTCGTGTTCTATGCCGTCTTCTGCAATACTAGTTCGTGCCCAGTTGATGGTTCAATGCCGTCCGACCGTCCGACCGACATTGGCTTTCCTGGCTTCGAATTACGACGTACACATTGCCTGTTTTTCGGGTGAAACAGGTCTCCAGTCATTTAGTTTACCCGTCAACACAGCAATCAATTTGATCGTTGTCGTAAACAGCAGTGAAGTACTCATTATTTAAGAGGGTTTATTAATGAAAATGAGTGTTTTTGCCCGGTGTCCCAAACTCCTTCTGATTTCGGGACGTTTATACTTACGTCGTGCAGTTTCCATGTTCTCAGCGTACTAACCCTCGAATTTATGTTGCCGTCGCATATGCGTCCCAACAGTCATTGATTTAACGTTTGTTTTATACTCAAGATCTGACGGATCTTTATTTTGGCGGACATTGCAAAGATACGCTTCCTGCGACTCCGTTCACAAATTGGGGTGTCCGCAGCCTTCTTAGCCTTTAAGATTTTCGAGGACAGCTGAAGTGACAGTTGTAGAGCTTCCTGGCGCATTGACAAGCAACATTGCATTCCCTCCACTTTGTGCAGCATGGATTGTTTCGACTTCTCAGGTTACGTTGACACTCTTTGGCAATGACTGTAAGCTCTTGCCTTTGAAACCGGATAAGTTATCGAGGTCTCTATTAACTGCCTCTTTACAGCTTGAAGGCATACAGTTGAGAGTGTTTCGAAAGTGTTCGATCCAAGTTTTTTTCTCAATGATCTATCAAACAACCGCTGAATGTGTTGTTGTAGACTTCTTTTATGGCCCCGATGAAGTTCGCCGCTTCACTCCAGTCAGCGTCTTTTGGATTTCTTTGAGTTTTTGATGCGTCTAGAGGTTTAGGATGTTTCTCATTCCCTATCTTCTCTATCGCCAACGCCTGGCGAACTTGGCTTTGCTCATTTTTTATGTGAATGTCGCTAGTCAGGCGGGTTTTAAATCTTGTCCGTGTAGGACCGTTCCTCGTGTCGCCAAATGGGCCTAAAAATTTCCAGACGTAATCAAAGTCGCGAAAGGCATTGCACTTTTAGTATTTCACACTGGCTTAGCTGGGAAGCACTACACTTTCCGGATTCTGCTTAGCTGATTTATATACTGCCTTCCTGCAAAACCGTCTTCTTGTTTGAACTTTCAGTTTTATCAAATAAAGAGGGGGTGTTTCGCTGGGTCGCAGATCGCTTTCGTAGCGGACACACCACATATGTTTGCTCTTCCTAGCGTGATTGACCTGTTCACATTCGGTGCAGAGTCGTGAATGAGTAAATGCGCCCTCGGAGCTTGCCCTTTATGTCCTTGATTGCCGAGGGTTGGCCAATCAGAGAGTCAGCTTCCGCATGTCCCTCCTCATGGCGATGCAGAAGTATCCGGACTTTCGCTTCTTCCCCGAGACTTCTGGTGACTGTGGTCTTTCCTTTTGATGGATCGCCTGTCTTGTGCTTTGTGTACGCTGTTTCATTGTAAGCACCCCGTTTCTCGGCTTCTGATGGGACGTGACAGGACGAGAACAGTAGCTGGTAGTGTCCACTGTACTCTACGGTAGTGTCCACTGTACTCTACGACCTCTGGCGGGTCCTACCAACCCATGCACCCTGAATATTATTTAGGTGTCTGCCTGAATCTCAGACGGAGCTCTCAGCTGCCGCTGTTAGACCCCCTGTTTTTTTCATAATTTCAATACTCACCTGGTATTTTCTGCATATTCCTCTTTTCTGCTTAATAAATTCTTACAAATCCTTCCAGTGGAAAGCCTGGTGAAATGCGACGAGAGATGAGTATTCAGGCTCATCCAGTCAATGCTATGTGTCTTCAGTTCTCTCCCTCTGGAAGTTACTTCGCCGTTGGCAGTGCAGACGCCCTCGTCTCCATTTGGGATGCTGACGAGTTCGTTTGCTTAAGAACCTTGGCTAGGTGAGTTAAGATGCGTATGTCGTATCTTTTCTCCTTTTATTTGCAGTTATCAAACACCCTTGGGTCACGGTTTTTTACTTCTACCACTCCACTTAGCACGCACCTATAATAACCTACCTAATTTAGTGTCCTGGGTAGGCGGGATCACCGAGAAAGAACATTCCGCCCGATCCCATTTTCAATCGTCACAGCTCAGGCGCAGCGCCTTCGGACCGGCAGCCGCACAGGCAGCCAGGACCAGCCAACGGAAAACGCTGGCTTATGTGCCGGCTAGATTCGTTCAGTAACACACAGTTTGCCCGGGAATGCTTTAGAACTGTAGGGATTTCCTTGATTTCTTAGGGTTGTCTCAGTATTTGATAAGGTACGGTCAGAAAATGATGGTTCCAGCCCTCACTCTGCATCCCATTTGCGCTTTCTCGTCTTTCCTTCTAGGCTGGAGTGGCCAGTGCGTGCCCTAGGATTCTCGCATGACAGTCAACTCATTGCTTCCGCCAGCGAGGATCACTTCATCGATATTGGATGCGTAGAGACCGGTATTTCTCTTTCTGTGAACTTATTGCCGTTTGCTTTTCCTAACGGAAATATTTTGCAACTTCGCTGATTAGCAGACAGTCAGTAAGCCACAACTGAACTGGTTCGCATCCACAAGCCCAGTGAAGATTGAAATATGTGGAAACATTCACAGCCACGTTCCTACCAGCTCCAACCCCAGATGCCCAGGCTTGTGGGCTTCTCATGTTTTCTGCACAACTCAGTCCTCCCAAGACGGAGAATCAGGCTGTAATGGAATTTTTGATATAGCCTTTGTGGCAGTCCCACGAACGTGAAATTTGAGTCGCCCCTTCCTATTTCTGTCCATTGCGTCTTGTCTTGCACCGCGTGCAAGCCACCGGCCATGCTGTGGGGTAGGAATCTGTAAACTGGTCCTGCATTTATCTTTCTGTGGGGCAAACGGTGGATATCGTCGTTTGAGACGACCGAACTGGGTTATCTGGGATCAGGTAGTCCTCGTAAGTTATGTGATTTTACCCCGAAATCGTCTAATCTACACAGCCGAAAATGATTGGGGTAGTTGTCCAACCTTCTGGCTTTTTGCAGTTGATTAACGTGTCTCCGCGAGCCTGTCTTATTGGACTAGTGGGCTGAGAGTCCTGTTTTATTCATCATTGTTGGTCGCCTAGAGGCCAAATACTGAGTCGTTTCTCCAGTAGGTAGCGCATTTCGTGAAACATTAATCAAGGTTCTAAAATGTGGTTTCGGTTAGAGGGACTTACTTATCCGCGGGTCGTGGTATTGATTGGAATAAAGCATAATCCTAAGATGTTTCAACTACGCCAGGGCATCGGCTTTTGAATGCGTTGAAATTTCGATGTCCTGATAAATCGGGGCATATTTTATAGAAGCATGCACAAAAATATCCTTCCTTCGACTCAAGGTAAAGATGCATGCCAGACCATGGAACGTATTTGTCAGGTTATTATTGTGAGACCCATTTGTAAAGAGCCGGGCGGCCACGGTGGGATTCGAACCCACGACAACGAGGGGAAGGCCTTAGTACAGCCAACGCTCTAACTACTTGAGCTACGAGGCCCCGCCGGACGACGCGAGTTTAATCACAGCTGGGTCAGGTTACCCGCCCAGCCTACTGCAACGTCTGGAATCCACCAAATCTGATACAGTAAGTTGACTGCCCAAGCAGGATTTCCTAAATCATTCACCTAGAATCCGCCAGATAACAACCAGGCTCACGTAATTCATAGATTCTTTGGCAGATTTTGAATAATTCATATTGACCCAACCGTGAAAAATTGCGTGGGTTCGAATCCCACCGAGGCGCCGAGTTTTTCACAGTTGGGTCAATATGAATTATTCAAAATCTGCCAAAACATCTATGGATGTTTTTGTGTTTGCTTTCCACAAAATATGCTGGGATTTATCAGGACATACAAGATCGTTGAAGAAGGTGCATACCACATGGCAGTCATTTTTTACAGTGTGATGCTTGCATACGGGCGAAAAGAAGCGTGTTCAAAAGCCGGTACGCTGGTGCTACTGAAATATTTTCGGATTATGTTGCACGATGCTCAATATTACAATCTCACGTAAGTAGCCCTTTTTAGTCGGTTAGTGTTTCACCGAGGATTTGTACCCACAGACATCAGCCTTCGGGCCTCTTCTCCATACTGATTTTGCCCGAATAATAAGGTTTCTCCAAATCACAGGAAGTCGATACCTGCCTTTCATCGTCCCCGTGGCACACGGAATGTCCGTCTTGTGCTCTTGTTTTATTTGCTACTAACTGTTTATCAGTAACCAGACTTTGCTCGGATCACGCTTTCCTTGTTTCTGCATCGTTACTCGTCGACTCTCGTCGTTCTTTGTTCATTGCTCTCTGTTGTCGCTCGCTTTTAAACCGACCACCACGCGCCGGTGTCATTCACGCGACTGCTCGTGCCACAGAACCACAAAGAATATCAGAGTTACTCTGACTATCTTCTGACATAGCCTTTAACCTCGTGTGTGTCTATTTTGGCGAATAAACTAGCACTGGATCGAGAAAATCCAAAAAAAATGTTAATACCCCCCACCGATAAGGACAGTGTACTTTTGTGGTTTCGTTGAGCCCTGTCGTTAGGTGAAGAACCGGGCTGTCCGGAGCAAGTATGACTTTTTCTTCCTCCCCTCTCTTGCCATGTACAGGTGAACAGGTCTACCGACTGGGCACACAGTCTGCAGCCACATTCGTGCTGGCCTGGCACCCGCGTTGCCACCTGCTCACCTACTCTAGTGAGGCCAAGTACGAACGCGATCAGGGCATCATCCGCCTCTTTGGACTGCCCCTGTCATCCGATGGCGGGGATCGGAAGCCGGCACTAATTAGCGAACACCCTGCCTGATGAGGACTTCCTACTGTCGCCGCAGCCGTGCGCAACCTGATGCAGCCCCTGCACATGACCCTTTTGTATAATAAACCCATTGCCTTTTTACTTCCCCTAATGCAGTCGTCATCGTAATCACCGGAAGCGGGTGGGTAGCCCATATTATCGAATCCAGGGCTGTTCACAAATAGACAGTGCACATATGTCGCTTGAACTAGTACCCTTTTCCTGGTCATCTTCGAGCAGAGTAGTTGTAATGCGGGAATTCAGACAGCGCGTGATTCCTTTGATGCCGACTTGTACTTGGTACAGCAGCAACCATTCCACGATCTAGCCGACCTGAATGGTGTTCCGAACTGTACTTCTGCCAAGAGAAGCGAAGAGACGAGTCCCAGGAAGCGGCCTTGAAGAAGGAGACACGATCGTTGGGACAAGAACTTTAATAGCCTGACGTTTCGGATTTCTGCTCAAATCCATCATCTGAGACAAAAGAAGATACGGGTATTTCATGCACAAGGGGCTGCAATATTTATAGGATGCAGTCGCCATGCTACCGCATATCTATCAATATTCATGGCTCCTCCCTTCATCAGGGATCGCTGCACTTTGTGCGCTGATTGTTTGATGGCCGACATTCGCGTCGTTAGTTGCTGCAATTTCATCACGTGCGTTGGATATTGGTGTGATGATTTCTCGACCATCTGACTCATTGGTCCTGGTGTTGAGAAAAGTGTTCACCTGTGCGCTTCCCGCGCGGCTAATTACTTCGCCTAGGCGAAGTATTAGCACCGAGTATGGAAGGGGAAGATCGCTTCACTTGTTAATGGACTGGGGGCCAGAAAACCATGATTCCAGTAGCTTCCAGCTCACGCGGTTGTCACCTATTGCGAGAATTTCGGCCTCGTCGAATTTGCATGTGTGGCTGGATCTTGTCGAATGAGCCGCAACTTGGGAGCTAGCGTCAGTTCTCCGCACCGCTGCAGCGTGTTCGAACATTCGCGTTCGGAGCTGTCTTTCGGTTTCTCCGACATAGTTGCTTTGCCCGCAACTGCACCAGACCCGATAAACGACTACAGACGTTTCTCGCCGTGGCAGTTATTGAAACCGAAAGTTCCATTCTCTTCGCCGAAGCAGGGCTCAGATACCAAAGATGCCACGAAGCACTTCCGTGTTTTGACGAACTGTGTCTAGGCAGGTTTTGATTTGACACCCTCTTTGACGCCTTCAGTGGGGTAATGGTGCCAGAGTAAGGTCAGTAACACTGAGCTCCTGAGGTAGACGACGATGAACGTCCCCAAACCACCTCAGTCGTCTTTCTGAGACAGCCTGGCTTATCTTTGCGATGTTGCAGATTTGGAAAGAAGTCGGTTTACTTCACTCGAGGGATGGTCCTCAAGTAGTGATCAGAATATTCCCGATCTGCGCTCGTCCTTCACGCGCACAGCCCAGCATCCACAACCACAGAGGACAGACCGGAGACGTGGCACACGCGAATCTTGGTGGCGATGGAGATGTCGCGTCGGATCCGTAGCCTTGAGAAAACCTGCCGGGCAGCATCAATCCGGGAAACAATGTCATCTTTAGTCTGTGTTGCAAAAGGTCAGTCTTACTCGTCTCCTGCGACTTGGTACAGGATGCGAGCCTGAACGTGACGCGCTGCGGACTAAATACCTCTTTCGTTTTCGTCAAACATCGTGAAAAGCCTTCAGTGAGTCTTATCTGGCCAAACGACTTTGTGCGCGCGTGCAATCGCGCTGCACAAGGTGAGCCGATTTGCACTTCGGCAGCAGCTTCGCTCCGAGGTACCTAAAACTACTTAAAGTTGACAGCCATCAATCGTTAGAGATGCTTTTTCCTGGTCAGGTTTGCAGCCGAACTCGTTCACCCGTGACACCACAGACTGCAGCTATTAAGGTGATATCACGCGTGACGATCCACGACAGCGGATCTGAACAGTTCAATCTATTCTCTTCGCCAACGACGGAGACCGAATACCGGAGATCCAAGAACTACCTCTTGACGGACTGCGTTGAGCCAGGTTCCGAGTTGACCCCCTCGTCGACGGCTCTAATGGGGTAACGGTGTCGGATCGAGGGCAGTAACACTGAGCTCCTGAGGTGGACGACGAAGAACATGCCCAAACCACCTTATTCATATTTCTTGAATGGCCTGCAATGCTATCCAGCAGGTGCAAACTGTCCTATTTGAGACGAAGTCAGTGAACTTCACTCGAAGGATGGTCCTCAGGAAGTGGTAAAATATACTCAATTTTCGCTCGTCCACCACACGCAAAGCCCAGCATTCACAACCATAAAGAAGGACAGACTGAACGGATGCACGGTACTCGCGAATCTTAGTGGCGATGGAGGTGTCTTGTCGGATGCGTGGGCATTTTCCAAGGCTAGAGAAAACTCCTCGGGCAGCACCAATTCGAGAGATAATGTCGTTCCTACTCTGCCCATCCGGAAGCAGCTCCGCCCCGAGGTACTTAAAACTGTCTTCTTCAAGTTGACAGCCATAAGTCCCGAGAGGCGCCATCTCCTGGTCAGGGATGCAGCTTGAAAAGACTTTAGTCTTGAAGAAGGAGACACGATAGCTGGGACAAGAGCTTTACTAGCCTGACGTTTCGGATTCCTGCCCGAACCCATCATCAGAGACAAAGGCAGAAACGGGTGGTTGATGCACAAGGGGCTGCGGTATTTATAGGATGCAGTAGCCATGCTACCGCATACCTATGAACATTCACGGCTCCCCCCTTCATCCGAGATCGTCGCATTTAGTGTGATAGTTGCTTGATGGCCGACATTCGAGTCGTTAATTGCTGCAATTTCGTCACGTGCGTTGGATGTTGCTGTGATGATTGCTCGACCATCTGACGCACCGATCCCGCGTTTATGACTAAACCGACCGATTTAGCGACTCGATCACCAGTGACATCATAGACTGCAGATCACCGAAACTTGAAGCAAGTAAGGCGATATCGTCGGCATAGTTGAGATCAGTCAGCCGGTGTCTGGGTGCAAACTCAACACCGTCATCTTCGTGTACGGCCCCCCCCCCCGAGAATCCACTCAGTATCGTAGTTGAACAGAACGAGGGACAGTATACGAACTTGTCGAACGCCGGGCCGAGTACCGACCTACTCGCTGGTATCCGAGTCTTATTGGTCACGACTTCACCATCAGTACTAGTGGTTGGCATCATAGCTACCAACTATTAGTATTATTACTGCCACCGAAAACGGCGGTTGTCTGTGCCCTGCCCGCGTAAGTACTGTGTCCAGTTAGTATGCCGAACAAGGGGAGAACCGTGAGATCAACAACTTGCGACTCGCGGTTGTCAACTCTCGAGACGATTTCTGCCTGTCGAATGAGCAACGACTTTAGAGTAGGCGACGACCATTATTACCGCCAACACGTGTCCAACCATTCACGACAAAGTCGTCTTCGGTGCGGTTCCCACGACCCAAGTAGCCTTCACAATCACTTCCTGAGAGTCGGCTTTTTGTATTAAACCTCGTCGTGCACAATTTTCTAGGCGGATCACCGCAAAGCATCGTCTCCCTTTCCCGAAAAAGTTATAAGCAATAGGTATTTTATTGGTAGACCAATGAAAATGCAGAATATCTAGTCAGGAAACCAGTGCCTCGGGACTCGTCTAGCGAGTTAGGAGTAGTTAGAAATGATAAAATAGCAAGTAATGATAATGAATATTCACGCAGCCGGCGAACGATCCCCGATAGCGCAGGTAGTTAGAGCACTCAGCGGCAGTCCGATTCTGTCTCAGGCCACTGAGTTATCTGTATACAGCATCTTACATGCATTTGAAAATGAAGAAACGCCAAGAAGTAGAGTAACGGGGGGTCCAAAATGTGACCCGTAAGACTGCACCAGGAGAGGGGGGCGCTTTAAACACAATCCTACTCCCGATTTCGCCACACCAAGCCGTTCAGCTTCCATCACCAGCAAAAGTGCGAAAAGTCAGGAGGCAAATGCGACATCTGATTGGTGGAGGGGGGTTGGCTACTGAGGCATTTGGAGAGGAGAGGAAACATTGCGCGATGCAGGAGGGTGGGCCGGCAGAGTGGCAAGACCCGGACGCGGCAGGATTTGCAAAAGGCGGTGTTGGACCGCGGGGTCGGGTACCTGGGGCTGGGGACCCACGTCTTCTGAAGGGGCCGCATCTAGGGGAAGCGGCGAGTCAACACCGACGAAGGTGAAGAGTGGTGTTATAAGGACGGTGAGACCGTAGGCGAGGAGGAGGAGGGCAAGGAGGCGGTTGGGAGAGCTGGCGCCGAGGGTGCGCAAGTAGACACAGGCGGGGAGAATGTAGCAAATGAGAGCCCCGGCCAGGCTGCCAGTGCAGCTGAGAATCACTTCCACTGTTCGCAAAGAAGAGCAATAAACTCAGGTTAGCAAAAGTAAGAGATCTGGGTCGGCAATCTGAGGAAAATGAATTGCTCACCGGATCGGGGGACTTTTCTGGCAGAGGTTTCGAAGAGCTGGGGCTGCTCTCCATTATCAAAGCGTCCAGTGAAAAAAATCGATCAGGATTTTGAATGGACAGCCGGATTATTTGGACTTGGGCTAATCGCTTTTTCTTCTTCTTTCGCTGCCTTGGCCTACTGGCCGTCGCTTGTGAGTGTTGGTGGCCTCCTCTATTGTGTGTCTCGTCACCTCAATTGGGGTTAGTTGCGTTCGCGTCCCCCTTTTGGGTGAGTTGGTCGACAGGCCGTGTCTGCTCTGTAGTCTTAGGCGCCGTATGACTGTCTTGTCTTCGTCACGGTGTATGTGATGACGTAAGACTTTATAGGCCGAAGGAAGGTCTATATGCCTGTTTATGGAGTTGGCATCAGAGTACCAAGCCTCAAGTGTGAGACGCTCTGTCCTTGAGGTGCCACTGCCTAAGACGGCTGCTCCTTGAAAAGCAAAACTGTGACCAGTTTCCCCGATGTGAGCCGCAAGCTGTGAGTTTGGGTCTAGTCTCCGTGTTGCCAGTTTGTGCTCATGTTGACGGGTCTGCAATTTCCGTCCGGTTCCCCCAACGTAGTTGCAGTCTCCATCCTTACAACGTATTTGATAGACAACTGCTGAGGCCAACTAGTCCGACAGTCTATTCAAAAATTCTGATCGAGTTTTTCACTTGACGCTTTGACAATGGAGAACAGCCCCAGCTCTTCGAAACGTCTGCCAGAAAAGTCCGCCGATCCGGTGAGCAATTCATTTTCCTAAGAGCAATAAAGACCGGTCAGCACGGAGTCGAAGGGGGGGGGGGAGGAACGGCATGGGCTAGCTAATTCCTCGGCTGCTGTAAGGGTAACGTCGCTTTCCCGCTCTAAGTCCCTGCAATCATCAGTACTCTTGCGCGCACGCCACGCGTCCCACGATCACAAAGAGCACATCTAGTCGTGAGCTACGACGAAGCCACGATGTGTCTGTAGACAATGTTAACTGCAAGTTACTGGATGCGCTTGCTACTGGCCGCTTGTGCGCCGAGCTGGAAATGCACAACCGTCGTGCCGAACTCGGCATAAGCGAGTTTAGATGTAGTTGGTTCAGGGTAGCTGACCGTCATCATAATTCTACTGTCAGTTCGATCCTGAACGTCCTGAAACTTCGATTTCCAACTCAATAGCCGATACCTTAGGCACCTCTGCCAGTTATAGGTTGGGCCAAATAGCGTTTAAAATGAGAACTAGTCCTAATATTGAGAGATAAATGAACTCAACCCTACTTCAAAATAATCACTAATAACCGCATGGGCAAGGAGGAAGGTGACAAGAAGCAGAACACGAGTTACAATGTAGAAAATCGCAAAACAAACGATCGCCTTAAGGTCAGTATGAACTATAGATTGACCAGGTGTCACGTAATACGGAGCCGCAAACTTGGCCCATCGGAAATAATTTAATAAGAACAAAAAACACAGGCGAGCAACCGATGCACTCTATTGTATTCATATGCCTTAACTGGTATTGTAACTATGTGGGTCATATCGGACAGGAGATGAGGTGGAACGTACGCGGAACACACAAAACAATAATGCAACGAAGTGGCCACCTGTGGCCCGTCGTCAACAAAAGGGTAATCACCTGGGCAGGGTGACAGAGTGCAAGTTGATCGAATTCGGGAGCTCCGAAAGGAAACCGACCAACCCCCTGCTCATGTGCACAGGGTGGCGCAACTAACCCAACCTTGGAAGACGAGCCGTTGATTGGCATTCAGTGGATGTTTTCCTGTCTTCAGCGACGGCAGCGGTTTTTCATCACCACCGCGCAGGTAACGAAACCGACAAGCAGGCAGGGCGCGAAGTATTGCATGTTGCCGTGATAGGCGCGAACCCGAGTTTATTTTTGTTAACGTGCATATTTTAGGCCCAGTAAATGGGTGTGGGGGGGTGTAATTTTTGACTTTTGGCGCGAAGAACTTTTGACGTCGATGTGTCGCAGTGTTGCAAGGTTCGGCTTCACAGATGTAGAGCGCAGCGACCGACTTTCAAGGCTCTGCAGACGGTTTCTCGAAGGACCTGCCGGAGGCCAGTCCCACGGAAGAGTGGGATGTCTCGGAAAAAAGGTACGACTGATGAATGCTCAGCAATTCGACGTGGCATCACTGCTCCCGATGAAAGGCGAGTGCTAGCAGCTGAACGATCTAGGCCTCTGATCATGATGCTTGGAGATCGAAGCCCGGACGGAGGACGCAGAACACGAAGTGGGAATAGGGCCTACTGATGAGCTGTGTGAACTGCGAGGCGGAAACCCGATGGGGAAAACCCTAGTGGTGGAGAAGACTGTGCGATGGGTGAAACAGTTATAGGCACCCTGAGGTCGTGGGTGTTATGAAGCGTTGCATGGCACCGTTACTGAGACCCAAAACACGGTCTCAGAAAAAAATAGGAGTTGGCTGTGTCTCCGACACGCAGTTTAAGATTCGACGAAAATAAACTCGCAGGGTTAGGAAAATGGTGTGAACTCCCCTCCCCTCTGATCTATGCCAAAAGTTGGTCCTCACACAGCGAAGAGTAAGTCACTAGTTGATGGTCTGCTACTGGATCAACTCACCACAATTCCGACCGACTGACGTTTCATCATAAAATGTGTTTACGGCAGATATGACAAAACAGGGGGTCAACAACGGCGGCGGATGGCCTAGTAATTTTAACAAAACAGACTACTCCCAGGTGTCAGCAGATTAGGGACAGATCAAAGTGTGGCGTCCAGGCAGTGAGAGTGTGCTCAGAGCGCCACAGCCCCGAAGGGGAAAGACACCTGTAGAATTTGTATATTCTATGCAAACGCCTGGTGGCTGTCAGAGCTCCGCGACGCGGGTTGGGAATGGAGGAGATTATGCTAGATTGAACAAGGTGAAGGAATTCCTAAGTGTGCTACATATCTCACGTGCGGTCAAGTTTAGTATATTCTGTACAGAAGCCGGTTGGCTGTCAGAGCCCCCTCTGACGAGGGGCAAGCTGTAGGCCTACGCAAGTCCGTGAGCTAACGACGTGAGTGGGAGTGAAGAAGCGTCACGTGATAGGCAGTCAGTGTCAACATGGTCAGTTGATTGAGTAATAGTGCAGTTTGTGGACGCCCGTGATTGGCCATCGTCGGGGCTAAATGTGCTCACGTCCTAGCGCGGCGTGGATACCAGAGGCAGAAGGCCTAATCTCATCTGGCGTGCTTCAAAAGTTTTAGAAAGCCGGATAGGGCACAGTAATAAGGACACCCCGCGCCACAGGTGGCCTTACGCTAAATTCTAGGCGGGGCGAGGTAGGGTTAGAGCAGGGGTTACAGTTAGTAAGGCAAGGGTCAAGGATATGCGCGGGGTATGGGAATCTATGCCGAAACGCCTACAATATTTGTAAAATCAGATGTTGTTCGGTGGAGTTTTTCGTCAACAGGATGGCATCCGCTGACCTGCATCGCCACGAGAAGCCAGTGCTGATTCATTGCTCTGCACCCCCCGTACGTAATTCCTTAGTATGAGGAGAGCTCATTTTTGCGAAGAAAGGTCGGAACGGTGAGCAGTCACGCAGCAAAAAATACTCGAAATATTGTTAAATGGGATGCACACGTCTGCCAGTAAAGCAGGAGTGCTGACACGCTGCTGAATTTGTTAGACAGCCAAATTTTTACCCCGCGCATATACTTAATCCTTGCCCAAGAGAATTTAGCACAAGGCCGCCTGTAGTACGGAAAGCCAAATCAGACAATTCTTCCCGAAAAGACGGAGAGACAAACGGTATTTGGGCCCTAAAAACGGGGGCGCTATTATGTCAGAGATATGACGGCCAAACAAGCGTGTGACAGGACTGGGTTGGAGGCTTTATGTCACGTCGGTCACTGCCTCCCAATTTGGACTGGCTCAAAAAGAGGAATAATAGGATGAGGCCGAAGCCGAGTGATCTTTCCCAGTATAACAAATCAGAGGCGCGAAATATTGTGACCTGACGGAATAACCCGGTTCCCCGTAATAAAGATCCGGCTGCAATGGTTTCTAGCCAGTAGGTAGTCATGGCAACTCCCATCACGGTGAAGGGTTTGAAGAAGTGAACTCTGCGTGATAGGCGTTGAGGTATCAGCTCGGGCGTAGTACGCGTAGAGGACGATAAATGCCTGATAACGCGCAAGAAACTCTCACGTGCTTCCAATGCGTACGCTTGCCACCGTTACCGTCCTTGTCTATTGGGTGATTGCTGGTCATCAAACAAGAAAATGGTGGTGAATGCTGTTGTGCTAGCTACAAATATCTAAGAAGAAAATGGAATGGGTCTGACGTTTTACGAGTTCGCCGGGGTCAACATCTCAAGTGCGCCTAATACAGGCGACTTTAAACGGACAAAAGCAGGAAGCGGGCTACCCAGTTTCTTATTTGAGCGTACGCCAAAGTACTTCTGATGATAGGCCGGCTCTAGCCGTTAACCTGTCTAAATCTCTGGGGATCCAACTCTGGTCGGGACAAGCAGAATCCTCGTCAGGAGAGTAGAACGCATAGATGAGCTGTGGAAGCCGCGAAACAAGCGTGAACGACTGTCTGGACACGAACCAAAGGTTCGAATCTCCGGCCGGATGGTTAACCTCTTCCGCATGACGGAAGAAGAGCTGAGTCGCGCTGATGAGTGATAAGACGCGCGAAGCGGTTGTAAGCAAGTTCTGTGCGCGGGTGTTAATCACTGGCGCAGCGGGAAATAATAAGTAGGCATTAGGCGTGCCTCAATGTAAGAACAGAGGTGGGCGCGCGCCCGCGCAGAAACTTACCCTTATCGGTGCACTGACTGACCACGATGGACAAAAGTATGACCAGAAGGGTCATCAGACGAAAGCGCATCAGTGGCAACTCCTTGACAGAACTGATCGGTCCAGAATCGCCCGCAGTCTGCATAGGATCAGAGCAGAGAAGAAGAGGAGGCTGCATTGAAAGAGCAAGTACTTCAGTAAAGTGAAAGTGAGATCTCTTGGTAGGCAATGCTTAGGCAAAATGAATAACTCCAGGATGAGCCGAATAGACGATTTTTGATGGAATAACTCACAGTGGACGGCAGTACCTGGGAGTAACTAACGCCCAGGAACGGGGGAAGGTTTAATGTGTGATTTTTCCTAACCACCTACTGAAGGTATTCTCGAGTAGTTGACTTAACTCGGGAGTGGGCTTTATACACATTGGTGCTATATACTTTTATCGCGTAACTCAAATCGCTGTACTATAATGTTTGTGCGATTGCCTTCGAGGTGTGTGGCAACTTGAAATACATAGATTACGGGTGAGCGTGAAACTAGCTTCCTCGAAGTCTCTATATTCAGATACCGTCGCCGGGGACGGCTACTGCCCCGGACGCCTCACCAACCACCACGAGCAATGCGAATCCGATTCCAGTCTGTTCTAATTAGGATCATCAAACTACGATCTGGCCAGTCACTCGCGAATCCATCGCACTAACAACGGCGAATCAGAGCCAGGAGCCCAGACATACACCCGCCGCATGGGCCTGATTGGTCACATGCGCCTCCAAGAAGATCTGCAATGTAAACCATCACACAGTTCCCCATCAGCACATGCACCACACACGAACATGTGCATTCTTTACTATAGTAAATCCGAGGTGCCTGAAACTACCATGAGGCGATAAACGTCGGGGTTGCCAAATGACGGTACAACTGAGGCCACGCAGTCGGCCCTCTGCATGATTGTGCGCTGGGATCAGGCTCTTACACACACGTGAGATAGCAGCCGCCCACCCCATTTGTGTGAAACCCCGGCGTGGTGTGTGGGGAGCCAGGTCGTGTGTGTGGCACGCGTAGACAGAATGGTGCGCGAACTGAGCGCTCAGTCCGCGAGAGGTAGACTCTGGGGATTGTGCTCTCGTATGCAATTTTAACCTACCGCCAGTGTTTGTGCGTTGTGATAGACTGGTGGACTAAGAGTCAGGCTCTCACACACACGTGAGATAGCAGTCGCCCACCCCATTTGTGTGAAACCCCGGCGTGTGTGGAGGGTCAGATCGTGTGCGTGGTACGCGCAGAGAGACTGTCTGGCTCTGTTAACCACTTGCGCTCGGTTCGCGAGAGTGGATTGACGCCTGAGAGAGGGACGATGACGTGGGGTAGATTCTGGGGATTGTGCTCTCTTATCCACTTTTGAACTATCGCCAGTGGTGAAATTGCAACGATTAACGACGCGAATGGCGGCCTTCGAATAGTCATCACGCCAACTGCAACAATCCCCGATGATGCGGGGGAGGGGGGAGCCCTGAATTTCCACAAATATGCGGGAGCATGGCGACTGCATCGCATAAATACTGCAGTCCCTTGTGCAAGAACTACCCGTATCATTTACTATTGCCTCTAATGATGGGTTCGAGAAGCGTCGGGCGAATAAAGAACTTGTCCTAGCGATCGTGTCTCCTTCTTCACGACTGTTTCTTGAGACTCGTCACTTCGCTTCTATTGGTAATTCGTCACCTCGTCGCACAGTCAGCTTATGTTCGTTTATGTGCAACCCGAGCATGCTCTCAATCCAACCAGCGTAGTTACAAGCACATTTTATGCAGGGGATACGACACACCAGGCCTGACTGTTGGCGGGAATCCTGACACGCGTCTGGGCATACGCGTGAGACCAAACGTTTACAAGACCACCGTTTTCAGGTAAAGAAATGCAAGACTTCTGGTATTAAGGGCTTAAAACTGCAAAATTGGCGACTTTGTGCCACGAAAGAAAGCGGCAATGTTTCATCACGACGTTAATTCCTATACTTAGGTGCACGCGGTATGCACCAACATGTTCCCGTCGCGAAGTTTTTTAACACACGGGTCCCGCTCAAGTTACTAAAACTACGTTCCACTGTCAGTTGGTAAACTGTGCACGGCGCATTCCAAACAACAGGGTGGGGCCTAAAAAGTGAATGAAGACGGCTAATAGCAGTGATGAAATTGCAACGATTAACGACGCGAATGGCGGCCTTCGAACAGTCATCACGCCAACTGCAACAATCCCCGATAAGGGGGAGCCCTGAATTTTGTAAAAAAGCACAGCATGGTCTTCTGGTTGACTTCGTACTCTTAAGTGACAACAAAATATCCAACAAGCATTGTTTCATTTTGGAAAAAGTTGGACCGTGACGTAGTCGATGTCGTCTCGTATTAATATAGTGATACATATCGCGTTCATCATCTCCCGAAGAAGAAGAGTGAGCGAATTCATGAACCATATTGTATTCGAACTGACATTTCGGAAACTTCCTCGTTTCCATCATCAGAGTAGCGTACTTGTTGCACTTTCGGGTCTTGAGTTATTCAGTCTTGCCGCTTGCCTCGTATTATAGCCGTGCTGGACGCACGAACTTTGACCTGCCTGTTTGCCGCTGACTGGCTTAGACCTCCCCGGAGTTGACCGCTGATAGGCCTACGTGACCTTTTTTCCCTTTAGGGTCGGCTTAGTTGTGGTCAAATCAACGTGCCGCTTGGCCCCTCCCACGTCAGCCGGTGGACTGATCGGTCGTTGCTGTTCAGGTGAGCAGCATTCAGCTTCGCGGGCGCATCGGTGAGACAGTGTTCGGCTTTGGTCACATGCCCCAATTCCGCTCTTTTCCGTGAGCGTTGACTCTTGGTCCCGCGTGCTCGCTTGCCTTACTGGCCCTGTTCGGACTGATCCGAACCTTGTACGCAGTGCTTGGTAGGCGGGATGTGGATCTATAGCTCGGTTGAGTGTACCAGTCGAGGACCAACTTTCGAGCACCATTCTGGCCATCTTCTCATTGGCTCGACCAACTACCCTCGCTTTCTCAAAGGCAAAATTGTGGTTCAGTTCTCGTATGTGGCCATAGACCAAAGACAGCTTGTTCTTTCAGCTGATTGCAAGTTGGTTTTCGTGCAATCTTGTACCGAGGCGCTTGCCCATTTCAATAACATACCTTACATTGCAATTTAGGCATGGTATGCTGTAGACCGCCGCCGACCGTTCCGTTGGTGGTAGCGGGTCTTTGGGCTTCAAGATTTGCGGTCTGATGGTGCACTCTGGTTTATGGCGTGGCTCATAAACCAGTATGCTCTCATTAGGATCAGCAAGCATCGATCTGTTCAGTCAGTTCGCGAGAGTGGATTGATGCCTGGGAGAGGGACGAGGGAGTGGGGTAGACTCTGGGGATTGTGCTCTCTTATCCACTTTTGAACTATCGCCAGTGGTGAAATTGCAACGATTGGCGACGCGAGTGACGGCCTTCGAACAGTCATCACGCTAACTACAACAATCCCCGATGAAGCAAGGGGAATCCCTGCATTTTCACAAATATGCGGAAGCATGGCGACTGCATCCTTTGTACAAGAACCACCCGTATCATCTACTACTGCCTCTAATGATGGGTTCGAGAAACGTCGGCCGAATAAAGCACCTGTTCCAACGATCGTGTCTCCTTCTTCACGACTGGTTCCCGGGACTCGCCCCTTCGCTTCTATTGGTAATTCGTCACCTCGTCGCACAGTCAGCTTATGTTCGTTTATGTGCGACCCGCGCATGCCCTCAGTCCAACCGGCGTAGTTACAAGCACATTTTCGGCAGGGGATACGACACACTAGGTCTGACTTTTGGCGGGAATCCTGACGCGCGTCCGGGTATACCCGTGAGACCACACGTTAACAAGACCGTCGTTTTCAGGTAAAGGGCGACTTTGTGTCATGAAAGAAAGCGGCAATGTTTCATCACGACGTTAATTCCTACACTGAAGTGCACGCGATATGCACCAACATGTTCCCATCGCGAAGTTTTTTAACACACGGGTCCCGCTCAAGTTACTAAAAATACGTTCTGCTGTCAGTTGGTCAACTGTGCACGGCGCATTCCAAACAACAGGGCGGGGCCTAACAAGTGAATGAAGACGGCAAATAGGTAAAGTAAAGGACTTTAAAGGGCGGGTACACACGCGGAGGATACATTGTCGTCGATGTTCTGTCGAGTAAGCCCAAAGGCTCGAGTCCACTATTTCCCATTAAATACACTGGAAAAACTCTCCCTGGGAAGGAGATAAACATCAACCTGGATTTACGAATCACCACAGGAAATCTTTTTTTCCAATTCGAACGTTTTGTACTAGTTCAAAAGTATATTGATAGTAGGTGTTTGCTCTAGAAGTTCATCTAATCCTGTGGAAAAAAATTCAAGAATGCACTAGACATACAGGAGCTTTTAAATTGGTAGAAGTGACCTATATGGCTCCTTAAACAGGACATGAGTACGGGTGGCTTTGAGCCAACTTCCAGTAAAATTATGGTTGGGTTAAGGAGCAGGCTTAAGGCTAGATTTCAAGTCAACCGAAAGGTAAGTCTAGATCAAGTTTAGGGGAGGGGCTAGTGCTAAGTACAGAGTCAAGATTAGGGCAACGTTTAGTCTTATACTGGGGTTATTGTAGGGGTTAGGACATGGGGACATTTTGCCCTTCCCAGGTTTATGCTTAGGTTCACCTATTCCCATGTCCTGATTAAGGGGCCATATAAGTCCGTCCTACATTCAAATTTTCGACCGATATCAACCAGGGGTGTCCTCAACGGCAGGATGCCGGCTTTCGAACGAACTTCCTTCCCGCTGCATGCAAAAACTATCCTCTGTGAAAAATGGCTACTTAAGTAGCATGCATTTTTCTCAGTGATTTTCGATGTCCCTAAAAGTCCAATTATATTTCATTCTTTTGCTCATTCGGTAGAGAAGTACGCCTTCTCTCAATCTTGTACCCGAAAGAGGGGTATAATTCGGTGTTCGAAAACTTTTCCAGTTCCCGAATAATTTTGAACCCGCTCTACCGTTACACTTGGATTCAGGTTTTCCAAACTACAAGCCCTGTAATGTCCGCGTACGGAAAACTACACATTTCTCTACGGTAATAAAGGAGGACTTTATAGGGTTCATAAAATTTAGCAGAGGATTTGATCCATATTGTTAACTTTACAAGCCACATGGTAAATGCAGAAACATTTTACGGTATTTAAAAGTCCCATAATTAAAAACATTTTCTAAAATCGAGTTATGTCCCTCCTTCGAGTATAAAATTAGAAGAAGACGTAATTTCTACCGAATGAGCAAAAGAATGAATACTGCTATGCATGTTTTTCATGAAATATAAGCGGACTTTATGAGTATTGAACATCAATGAGAAGAAGCCATGCTACTTAGGTAGTCATCTTTAACAGAGTATAGCTTTTGCATGCAGCGGGAAAGAAGTTCATTCGAAGGCCGGCATCCTGAGTTAACTGAAATATCATAGAATTATGTTGCAGGCTGACTAGTTTTACAACGAAACGGAAGCACATTTCGGAATTCCGGTTGACATTTCAAGAGTTAGCCCACCTACTGTAGTTGCGTTTATTATTCGCATATAATTTGTTCTTGACGATGGTTTCAGTTTCTAGCTATGGCGTTGCGACTATTTGCACTCCTGCGTACACCTAAAACGGAATGCTTCGCAAAATCATCATTATCATCGTTAGGCACGACCGATGTACTGACAGAAGATAAACTCCCATCGGTGAAAAAAATCAGTGGGTTTCCGAAATACTGTGTTCAAAAGGATATGCCTCCTTTTACTGCCCGCGGGCTTTCGGAAGTTGCGCACTAACATTACTGCTTAGATTCACCTCCAGTTACTCGATTTATCAATAGGACTCATTAGCCGAAGTGCGGATAACACTTTTGTTACCGATGATCGAATTTCGCGCAAAATCGATAATTCTGAACGAATGAGTGGTGCATAAGACGTATTTTTGTCCTTTTGCTTCAGATATGGCGACTTGGTTTTTTAGTCTGACGATTTGGACTATGTAATTGGGGCGGCTTTAGCGTTACTCAGAAGTTTCATCTGGATTTTGGCACTCGGGGGCAGACAGCTCTAACGTTCCCGTCATGCGAGGGCTCAATGACCAACTCGGCGGCCTAGAAACCAATAAGACGGAGATTTTGAGCGAGAACAGGAGTTCCTGCCTACAAGCGAAGATGCGAGTTCCAAGAACTAGTTGATCAGAAGAAAAAGAAGCGATCATTGGAACAAGGGCTTTAGCCGCCCGACGTTCCGGACTCTCATTTGAACCCATCATCTGAGACAGTGGCAGAAAAGGGTGACTCGCGCACAGGAAGTTGCAGTATTTATAGGATGCAGTCGCTATGCCATCGCATACCTATAGAAATTTACCGCGTCCCCCTTCATCACGAATTGTTGCCCGCTGATGCGCTAATGGCTTGGTGGCCGGCATGCAAGTTGTTAATTGCTGAAATCTCATCGCCCGTGTTGGATGCTGGCGGGATGATTGCTCAGTCATCTGGCTCACCGGCCTGCACGCTCCCCGAGTGATTAATTACTTTGGCCAGTCTATGCCTCATCACGGAATATGGAGTGGGGAGGTCGTTGCACTTGTTGATAGACTGATGTCCCGTGAACCATGACTCAAACAACTCCCGGCTCACGCGATTATCCAATCTCGCGAGAATTTTGGCATCATCGAACTTGAATGTGCGGCCGGATCGTCGAATGGGCCGCGACCTGAGAGTTGGTGTCATTTCTCCGTACCGCTGCCGCGTGTTCGGCAATTCGCGTTCGGGGCAGTCTTCCAGTCTCTCCAACGTAGTTGCTTTGTCCGCGACTGCACCAGATCCGGTAAACGACTCCAGATGTTTCTTGCCGTGGCAGTGGCTCTTTTGGTGTCGTCACCTGAAGCCTTATGGTGGCCTCCGGTCTGTGTGCAACTCCAAACCCAAGTGGCGCAAGAAGGCGACAAAAGGCCTCGGAGACGTTCTTGATGTACGGGATCGCTCGCCAGAATTTGGGGTCGGCACGATTTTGTCGCTCGTCTCGTCTCGCTCGTGGAGTTGCTCCTCCCCACTCTCCCCCCCCCCCAAAGGATGATGCTCGGACTGGCATCCAAAAGGTCAAAACGCACTTCCGTGACCGGAGTGGGGGGGGGGAGGGGGGCGAGAAAACGCAGTCCGGTAACTGCGTGATCAAGTCCGCCCGCGCACTCGCAGGCAGAAGACAAACGGAAGAGACCTCCCCCTCCCCCCGCCGCCCCCTTGAGTCTCGGAATCTGACGCTGGTCTCGTACACAGGTCGGCAACTACCATGGCCAGAAGGGCCGGACAGATCGCGGATCGGGAAAATGCAGCTGCACCGACAGGTATCTCGATGCAAGCAAAAAGGCAATTTTCCCCAAACAACTAATAAGAAGAATATGCGATCGTTGGAACAGGAATTTTATTCGCCTGATGTTTAGCACTCCTGCTTGAATCCATCGTCAGAGCCGCAAACTGATCATAAATGGCCGACTATTTATTACCCGAATAACCAAGAGGGCGGGCAAGTACGTATCACACCAAGTGCGGCCATCGGCGATGAATGCAGAAACCGCTAACTATGATAGGTACGTGGTCGCATAGCAACTGCTGCCTATAAACGCTGCACGCCTTGTGCGTTCATTACCCTTATCTGCAGAGGTGTTTGACGAAGTCAAGTCCTGTCTACTTTCACTTGGTCGTAAGCGATGGGACCGTCAGTGTTTGTCGGGATGGGGTACAGCGGTCAGCCCGATCACCATTGGGAGTGACACCCACTCGAATAGCCTAACCTACCCCAACAAGAACCTTCTTCGGTACTGGTTAATCGGGCAAACCCGAATACTAGTTCACGGCGTGACAAATGTCCAACCATCAGTTTCACAGCCACGACTGACAATAATAATTGTAGAAGTAATAGTAGAAGGCAGAGGAGTAATGGCAAGGGCAGACTCACTGTGTAATGCAACACCCTTACTTGCAGTTCTATCTGGTGATGTATTCGAGCGCGAATCCGAAACGTTAGATGAGCAGTAGTGGCGATGGTGGTAGTTGTAGCAATAGTAGTGGTGACAGTAACATTAGTACTGGTATAAATAGTAGTAGCAATGGTAGTGGTGGTGGCAGTAGTAGCAGTAACAGTGGTAGTAGTAGTGGAAATAGTAGCGGTAATAGTATTGGTAGTAGTAGCAGTGGTAATAGTAGTAGTAGTAGTAGTAGTAGTAGTAGTAGTAGTAGTAAGGACAACTTACCGTATTCCCCAGGCCTCCCTATTTGCAGTCCTCTTTGATGATGTATTCGAGTGCGAATCCGGAACTTTAAATGAGCAGTAGTAGTGGTGGTGGTATTAGCGGTGGTGGCAGTAACAATAGTAGTGGTGGTAGTATCAGTAGTACTAGTGTAAGTAGTATTAGCAGTGGTAGTAGTGGTGGCAGTAGTAGCAGTAGTAGTAGTAGTAGTGAAACTAGTAGCAGTGGCAGTAGTATTAGTAGTGGTAGTAGTAGTAGAAGTAGTAGTAGTAGTAGTAAGGACAGACTTGCCGTATGCTCCAGGCACCCTTAGCCGCAGTCCTCTTTGATGATGTACTCGAGTGCGAATCCGAAACGTCAGATGGGCAGTAGTAGCAGTAGCAGTGGTGGTGGCGGCAGTATTAGTGGTAACAGTGGTAGTAGGAGTAGCAGCGGTAGTAGTAGTAGTAGCAGTAATAGTAGTAGCAGTGGTGGAAGCAGTGGTATTGATAGTGGCGGTGGCAGTAGTAGTAGTAGTGGACCTGGTTGTAGCAGTGGTAGTGGCAGTAGTAGCAGTGGTGGTAGTAGTGGAAATAGTAGCGGTAGTCGTAGTAGTAGTAACAGTAATAGCAGTAGCAATGGTAGTGTTGGTAGTAAGGACAACTTACTATGTGCTCCAGGCCCCCCTACCTGCAGTCCTCTTTCATGATGTACTTGAGTGCGAATCCGGAAGGTCAGATGAGCAATAGTAGTGGTGGTGGTATTAACGGTGGTGGCAGTAGCAGTAGTACCAGTGTAAGTAGTAGTAGCAGTGGTAGTAGTGGTGGCAGTGGTAGCAGTAGCAGTGGTATTAGTATTGGAAATAGTAGTGGTAGTAGTAGTTATGGAGAGGACAGACCTACCTCCTCAAACAGCAGGCTGTTGAGGGCGCTGCGCAGAGGGAAAAGCATGAGTGGGAAGGAGGCCGTCACGGTGTAGAGGAAACCGAGACGAACGAGTGCGCTGACGAAGTTCTCAGGGTACATGGTAAGCATGTTGCCAGCCAAGGTGCCGCCCTCCCCGGCGTCCTCCTCCTCCACCTCGATAAAGGCCAGGTATCCGAACAGTCCAGCCTGTGCGCAAAACAAAGAGAGGGGGCTTAGCGTGGACTACTACTACTACTACTGCTACTGCTAGTACTACTACTACTACTACTACAACTACTACTGCTACTACTACTGCTACTGCTACCACTACTACTGCAACTACTACTACTACTACTACTACTACTACTACTACTACTACTACTACTACTACAACTACTACTGCTACTACTACTGCTACTGCTACCACTACTACTGCAACTACTACTACTACTACTACTACTACTACTACTACTACTACTACTACTATCGTCGTCATCAGCATCATCATCAGTTGGGTGCGTCATTCAGTCTTGACGCTGTGGGCTGGCACTCACATTTATGTCTTGGATTAAAACTGGCTAACAGATCATGAGTATTCTGCGGTAGGGAACTTAATTATGGCTTGTAAATCATACGGTAGTTCCAAGAATGTAGCATACAAATTCGCGATTTCTTGCACCCCTCGTCTGCTTCTGACAGTGGGCGTGTGGGTCCGACACAACAGGCGGAGAGATCTCACGGTTCCGCGATCGAGCCTCTGCGGAACCTGACTGTCAGCTTCGAGCTTCAGATGGGAGAGGGGGGTTAACCCCTTTATATGCGTGCTTACCGTAAGGTCGTCGGGGTACCTCAACTACATAACACACTTATCAGTGGCACTAGTTGCACACAGAGGGCCAGATCATGACAGAAGTTGGTGACCCTTTTGGCATTTAAGCAGCGTCGTTGCCGGCTGTTGACGTGTTTGAGAGGGTCTACCGAGACGGCAGCTGAACATGACCTCATGGGAGCGATTCATGAGCCACAAGCTTATAATGCGTAGTCAGAATGAAGCGCACTGTACACTTATGAGCGCCAGTAGTTGCTAACCGCCGTTCGACTGCTGAGTGAGTGGTTTGTCACGAAGCGGACCACGTGAGACAGTGCTGACAACAGAGTGGTTCTATTTCTGGGATGTTTATATTTATATACACTGGGCCTTGGGGATGGTGTGCGTCTGTAATGCCCTGATTCAGCAAGCCAGGGCTCTCGCAGCCTGGTGTTGGTGCCCATGATGATTATGATCGGTTCGTTATCTCGTAAAGTGCTATGCCGGGATCAGCAAACCATGGCCCTCCCAGCCTGGTATGCGCTGGCTGTTTTCTGGCATCTGGTTCCCTGCCGGTAGATGCACCTGCGCTCCCGCTGAATATACAGGTCGTGTGCACGGTTGCCGAGCCATCCTCGTCTTTCTGACCCGTTTATTTTTTTGTTGGTTAAAATCCTGGTCAAATGTTTGTTGTGGGTGTGATGGTACGCCTAGGTGCAGGTTCGGTCGCGCCAGCCATCTATGAGCTCTCCGCCTCCGGTCTTCTTGACTACGTCTTGACACCGGACCCAGGTGGGGGAGGAGAGAGTGAGGTAGATGCTTCACAAGTCCACCATCACTATAGACTAATTCTCACGCAAGTCACCTTGCCTGCTTCAGCTCGTTGTAGAGCCCACGGTGGACATCGTCGACAACGACGGTCGAACTATCGTGTATATTTGAAGGGTTACAGGCAGAGGCATATTTTCAGTCTCTTTCCACACATTGAACGGTTTGCTGGCGTTAGCACCCGGCGTGAAATATGGAAATCGCGGTCAGACACCACTGAGCGACAAAAATGATCTGACAGTGAAGTAATCCTACTTCCTGTGGCTCCCAGTGAAAAAAGACTGCTACTTGCTAGAGCTAAGGATTACAAGGAATACTACCTCTGCAATTAGCTTGTCAGGGGCATCATCAGTATCGTCAAGAAATGAAGTCTTCTTTAAGGCAAAGGAAAGTGCTCACGAGGGCATAGGCCGATATCACGAAAGTGACAGCGTACGTGAGTGCCTTGCGCATATTGCCGTGGGTTTGGTCACGCAGACTGTTGTATATGACGTGCACCTGCCTAAAAAGTAATTGGAAACACAAGGTAACCATGACAAAACCTAGACTGTAATTCCTTTCTAGCAGTTAATGTAGTCGAGGATTCGGAAAGTCCAAAATACACGCAAGCTGGAGGAAAAGTAGAGCAGAGACCCGAGAAGATTGTCGGCCTAGCCGAGGGTTATCCGACGCGCCACAGGTGACAAATAGTGGGAAGGGGATTGGCTGCAAAATAAGTAGGCTCTGATTCTGGTGGGTAGGCAACAGCGGTCCGGGCAACGGCGTAGCGAATGTTGTCTGCCATCCCAGCCGATGTGTCGGAGGGACTGTATGGAGGGAACCATACCTCCAAGAAACCGCCCCACGCAACCGCTACTTGACAAGTCTCCGTGCAGCCGATTTAAAAAAACACCAAATGGTCATGGTTCGTGCACATTAGCGGGAAGTGGCGCCAGACGGCGTGAGTTTCTGTCCATCCATGCTACATGCAAACTGTCCGTTTCTGGCCTACTTGTTATCATCAGTCAGGCACACTCAAGCTGACTTGTGAATGCTAGGCTATGCGCGTGGAGGACGAGCGAGAAGTGGAGGTATTTGACAACCACTGCTTGAGGACCATTCTGCGAGTGAAGTTCACCGACTTCGTCTCAAATGAGACAGTCCGCGCTAGCCGCGACAACATCGCAAGGATAACCCAGGCCATTCAAGAAAGACGACTGTGGTGGTTCGGGCAGGTTCCTCGTCGTTTGCCTCGGGAGCTCAGTGGTACTGCCCTCGATCCGGCACCGTTGCCCCATTGGAGGCGTCAGTTCAAAACCGGGCTCGACACAGTTCATCAAGACATGGAGGTGGTTCTTGGACCTTCGGTATTCGGTCTGCGTCCTTTACGAAGGGAATGGTTTGAGCTGTCCGGATATGCTGCCGCGGATCGTCACGCGTGGAGAAGTACAGTTCGGGACATCATCGAGGCCGGGGCTAGATCAGGCACGATCGCAGCCGTATCAAGTACAAGTAAGTACTCAAACTGACCGCAAGTGGAGTATTTTCATGTCCTGTCTGACTGGCAACGCCGCCGAACGGAGCGTAAAAAATCCCCATGGAGTGGCGTGCTCCGAAAACGGGGGGGGGGGGGGGCAACGGCAGCCTCATGAGCACCGTCGGTGGAGCCCCTCTTGGAGGAGATATTTTTCAGGCTCACTCTGATTGCCTCTCTGAGACACAACACGCTAGAGTCCGTTAATATCGAAACGTCATCAGTGCAATTCCGTTCCGTCTACACGGTCTACAGATACGCCGAGGTAGTCCGTTTGGAGGTTTGGTCGGCCAGCAGGTAGGCTCCGTTCGGCTAAAGTGTGCCACTCACCGCAGTTCGGCTGAAGATTTCGTGGTGTAACTTGTCGAGACGATAAGTGAGGATTGAATTGTTCTACAGCCAGTGCAGAGGGCCTGAATTAACGCGCGCGTGTGTGTGGGCGTAAACGTGTTTCAGCAGTAAGCGTAGAACTGGGCAGACATACACACACACAACTAAAGAACAAGGATGCATGCTTTGGAAGACAAAAATTCTAGGCAATGAACAGGAAACTTACACTTGGCAACAGAGGGAGCTGGCGATCACGGGAAGACAGTGAACCAGACCATCTAACCTCCACCAGCGCACATGCCTCAGCGGATTTCCAGTGAAGAGCTTAGGAAGTCCACAGGCAAAGACTAGCTATAAAATAAAGCGAGAGAGCATAGGAGTCTGGAGGAGATGTGGCATTCAATAGGTGCGTCTTCTCTGCTGATTTTGATGTTGCTTACCTTCGTAGGCTCTACTCGAGGATGCGCTTGGAAAGACTACCTCCTTGGTGCCCGCCTGGACACCTGGAGCGTTAATACGGCTGCCTCACACCCAAAGCACAAAACGCTACCGTTGCCGTAGACCCACCACCGGCAGCTTTTCCGGTGGACTGTTTAAGCGTAACATGGGAATGTTTGCAGAATCTGCAGATTTATCGCGGCATGGTAAGAGGGCCAGGGTCAGAAGCCAGGAGTAACACCCATCAGGTTAGCCTTACGTTGGCAAGCATTAGGCAGAGGCTTCAGGATGAGCAAGTTCTCACACAACAATGGCCCTCGTCGCTTGCAACAGCCGAACATGTTTTTGTCAGATCACTTTAACAATAGTTTTATTTCGCGCGATAAATAATCTGCTTTCTTTATCTTTCACGAAACAAGTCCTGTGGAGAAGCCTTCCAGTCTATCAAAAAGGTCCAATTGTCGGAAGAGGATCCTATGCATCTTTTATTACTCCTTAGAAGAAGGCAGGAGACGCCCTGAACCTTTTAAAGTGGCGACAAGGTCCGGATAGAGAAAACAACAACACACACCATAAAATGCAGCTTACGTGCGTGAGGAAGACCAAGTATATCAGGACGGCGACCGAGCTAGCCCAGCTGATGAGCTCCACTCTACGCAGAAGACAGAGTGGAAGGACGACGCACAAGGTTGCGATCAGAAAGAGACGCCGGTAGAATATGGTCGGCTAAAGTAGTGTCACAGCAATAAGGAAAAGGTTAAGACCAAATGTGGACGAAAGGCAGAAAGAAAACACAATAAAAAGACATGCAGACATTCAAGAAACAGAAACACTTTAGCCTAGGACCGAAACAAAAAATGCCACTAGAAAGTATCCAACATAAAAAAATGAATTACAGGCTATCGGATCTAGAATCAAGCACCTAGTCTTAGCGTAAAGTCTGAACTTTTGGAAGTTTGCGCTTCATTAATTACAAAAATGCTTCTTTGGAAGAGTAGTCAGTCGGCCTGTACACAATCCAGGTCTCCATATCCCCAGAAAAAATCATTATATTGGTTTCCGTCGTTACGTTCCATGGTTTGGGTGTGTGACATAGCGGCGACGGAGTCCAGAAAGTTCGCAACAGTGACGACCACTCAAGCACGACTAGACTGCTAGGTGTTTCAGCCAACTGCTTCTGGCCCAGGGAGCAAACAACCGCGCCTATCTTGCCGATCTTCTTGCTACTAATTTCGTCGCTTTTGTGAATCAAGTGTTGGCGTGCCCATCTCAGATTTTTTTATCACAGCCGCCTCCCACTAGGTAAGCACTGTGATTCAGTACAAAGAAACACGTTTAGAAGTTCCTGATATAAAAGAATAGGTTAGTTATTGGAAAGTGCGTACAAGAAGACTCGAGCGGCGAAAAAAGAAAATAAGTCGACCCGACGTTTCAGACTCCCCATTGAACACACTATCAGGGACCACAACAGAGGGCCCAGGTGGGAATCACAACCACACTCATTGCTGATGGCTATGCGTTAATTTTTTGGTTGCCTGCATCTGAGTCTTATTGGCCGCGGTTTCACCAACGGTGTTGCAAATTAGTCTCAGTAGTGCGGTTACAGAAGGCAGTGCTCGCTCATGCGATCCCTGCGTAGTTGATCCCTCAGCCCAGCCAAAGTCTGACCGATGAGTGCAAATAGAGGATATCATCGTGTTTGCTAATGAGATGTGGACGGGAAATTCGAAACCCAAGTAGCTTGCCACGGACGTCGTTGACTAGGTCGGGTCGAAATATTCACGACCCAATAGTCGGCAGCATTCTGCTGATGCGTACTCGACATTCGCATCCGGAGTAACTCATCTGTTTCTCTGCCGCAGTTATCTCTTCTGAAACAGTGCCAGACGTGGTTAACACCAAACCCATGAGATGAAACAAGGCGGCCGACGTTTCTGACGCAGAGGTGCACCTGAAGAAATAAGCTGGCCATGGTTTAGTCTCGCCTTGTTTTGTACCTTTTCAGATTTCGAATCCCCCTCAATTAACCAGGAAACATTAAATCTATGCAAAAATTCCGACCTTTAACCTCCGATTGGCCAACTAAGAAAGGAATGACAGCGCATAACTGGTGTCATAGTTAAGTTTATCGTAATTGCTACACCTGTTCCATGTTTTCTCAGAGAAACTGAAAGGATGTGTATGGGAGGACCGATAACTTTCAACTAGTTGAGTTCTGCTATTTTTGATTTGGTCAAGAATAAAATGCACTTGTTTTAGAACAATTTCAGAATTCGCCGATGTAAACATTCCCAGCTCAATCTTTCCCGAACAAAATGCATGACCATATTACGATCTTTCAGATAAGGAAGTTTATTCATTTAACTTTTTGACTGTCTAAGTGTAGTCGTCTTAGAATGTAACAATGAGTCTAATGAAGTGCCCAATATAGTAAGGTTGATGAGTCCTTCGACACAGAGGCCAAGAAACTCGACAAGAACCTATGAGTGAGCCGAATAGTATACCCAGTTGAGCTGAAAAAGGCGTTCTCTGTGTGGTAAAGGCTGGCGAAAATACACAGATTGGGAGACAACGAACACACTTTGAGAAGTTTTTACAAAAGTTAACGTCACGAACAGTGGCATATATCACGCCAGTAAAAACGTGACAGTGAAAAAAAGCCAGAGATACACAGCCAATTTTAGAAACAATATTTTAAGATGTAGAAATGGGTTAGTGAAAATACCTTTGTCTCAAATACCGTTGCGAGAACATCGCTACCCATATCGCTAATAGAGACGTTGAAGCCGACAAGCATTCCAAACAACAAGCCTATGAGGCTGAAAAACTGAAAACCTGACGTCGCAGTAAGTACCTGAGTCCGACAAGTCGTTTGCCGAAAATTCCATGAGACTTATAGGCTAAAAATTAAGAATTGTTCAATGTAAATGTGCACTAGCTAACCGGAGTCCTCAAACGATGAGCAGTGAAAGAAAAGGCCAGCCCGCAGCACCGATTCACTGGCAAAAATTGTGAAAAACCCAGAAAACACAAGAACAACCAGTGCAAGAATGATACCACACTAGACAACGGTTGAGGTATTAAAAATATATATACCTGGTGGAAACAATAGGGCATAGCCAGCATGCCGACACCGATGCTACTATTAACTAAGTTAACAACGGAGGGAAGAAGATCACGGAATTTCTAGGGCTGTGTTAATTCAGGCGTTCTCTTTCTTACCATCATCGAAGGTAGTGTATCCGACCGGTTTAGAGTAATCTGTGGGAAAAATACGGGAAAATAAATAATTTTGCAAAGGCCTGACCCCACTTTTGTACAGATAATTATTTGTAAATCTAGCGAGTTTTTGCAAGAGCGAAAAAGAGATTAAAATGAGAAGGTGGATTTAACGAAATTAGTTAGGTGTAAAAAGTCCCCGAGACTATATCCTTACACGTATGAACTTTAATCTTTCAAGTTACGTTTTGCTTTTGCGCCCGAGTTTCAGTCCAGTAAAATATGAGCGACTCGTACCCTAGCTCTTCTATGTGAATTCATTTAGATCACTCTAACTCTATTTTCTAATTTGATTTTACCTTATTGTGCTTCCTTCTCTCATCCTTTTCCGTCTAAAGGATTTCATATTGATACCTTCGCAAGCGGTTTGCCTCGGTTTTCGTCAATCTATGCAAGAGGCCGTCACAAGATGCCGCCCAATCCTGAGCTATCCTCCCAATGTGCACGGGGGTTTATAAATTTTGAGCTGGCAGACTTACACTCCTGACCATTTATCACATTGGTCTGGCCGTTTTAATTGAGAAGGAGAACACACACACACCCTTAAATGATGAACGTACAGTTCTTATTGATGACCTCGGAGTATGGTTGTAGTAGCAAATACGAATGGTCCCTAAAGTCCACGCCTCAACTCAACCACTTGACAGCGCGAAATGCATATAAGAGGTTCTCGCACAGTTCAGGTTTTTCCGGCAAGTTGCGTTGAGATAGGGATTTTAACCTCTAGCCATTCCCTGAGCTGTTGTTTGGGCCCTTTTAGGGCTTTTTTGGTCCTGGACAACCCACAACCTCCAGATTTGTGTTTCGTGTTCCAAATTCAGCCCCACAAACTGTCCGAAGATTTTTCAGAAGACGCCTCCATAAAATGCATAATTGCTCATTTGGTGGCGTGCGGCAATCACACTTCAGTTTTCCTGCTTTTGAACAAGAGGCGCGTGGTTTTAGGAGTTTATAAAAAGTAAATACCTGACATTTATAACGAAAAACGTAAGTGGATGAACTGCTTATCTGTAAATATAAGAAGCTAGGCCATCTAGTGATTGGTCAAGTACTGAGAAAAAGGGCTGCATACTTATGTCGCATAATGTGAAAAAATTGTGTGATTGAAACCGCACGCTCTGGGAAAAGATTTGTAGGATCCAGAGGAGGAAATGATTGGAGGATGGGCTGAGCACTACAGCAAGCTAGACAAGCTTGCATTAAAAACCCGAAGGTAGAATATTCCAATGCATAAGGCGAGCTCACTAACCAGGTCAGGGAGATCATTCCAGGATTAAAATTGTATTGCGGCCGCGGATAGAATGAGCTGAGTGGCAGGAGTGATATTACTTTACTTTAAGCATACTAAATTTGACCGATCCGTCTTGAATCCTGGAAGAATAGTTGGTTATGTGTTATGTTGGGAGATGAGGTGGATGATCGTGCCCCTAAAACGGGCCACTAGGTTGATACGCTGCACCAGTACATTATTAGGATGGGAGTCCGAAAAGCTTTATCTAGAATGCGCAGTCAAAACTGGGGTCTGGCGACTGCCGAAGTGCTGGCTCACTCCACGCCCATTGAGGGCCGAGCCATCCTTATATTCTGTTCAGTGTGTGCTGTTGACCAGAAGGTGTGGTGGTACGCCTAAATGCGGATTTTTGTCGTGCGAGCCACCTGCGCCCTCCCGCTACTCCGATCACCTTGGGTCTGTCGTGATGCCAGACCCAGATGCCAGTGGACGATAGAGCGCTTTAAAGATGGCGCAAGCCTACTATCACCTCAAACTGATTCACGCGCAAGTCGCCGTCTCTGTTCTCAACCTGCTGTGGAACATACGCCCTACACCTTAAACCACGACGGCTGGATTACCTTTGGGGTATCATGGAGGAAAGATTGATAAGAGGAACTGAACTTCTTCAACGTTCGAGTGCCAAAAATTACCCCCAGGCCCTGCTTCTGAAATAGGCACTCGCGTTGGGGTTACTGGTGGAGGGGACAAACAATCTACTGCTCGGTTGGGTTTCCTTGTTTCAGACGAGAAAACTAATCTGGAAGGTCTTCTTAGTGAGCAAGCGACACTATCGAGACGCTCTTTTTTAAGGAAATGAAACAAAAGAAGTTAAAAATTTCCCCAGAAACAAATGGTACTTGGTCCGGGAGTTACCGCTTGCGAATCGCCAACTGGAGACAAAAATGGGAGTGCGAGAAGGCGAACCAATCGCCTGGGTCGTCGGAGTGAATTAGACTGCCGGTGGCTCACTGACCTAAAACTTAATATTTTCCGTTTTTTCGACTCATAAGTCCAGGATCCTGGATGTTGTGAAGGCTGACAGAACCTCCCCTAGAATCAGGTAACCCTTTAAAAAACTCAAGATCGAGTACAGTCTCCGAACGTAGGAAATCCACTCCTTACTAGCGGGAGGTCAGTAGACGACCCAGAACTTGACATAACATTCGAGTCGTTGGCGTCTATGAACCGCAGGGAACCTCCACTCTGTAGGCCATTGTCACCTACTAAGTCGAAGCATAATCCAACGGCCAGCATCCCACAGGAATACATGTGGCCCTGCAGTGTCAACAGCCACATAAGGGGCCTGTCAACGGAGGAACTCAAAGTTCAACAAATGTGGACACACGAGTCGGAAAAAGCCACAGCTTTTAACTTCAACGCCTTGTGTCATACACCACAGATCCGATAGTTTGGTTTGACTTACTTGAAAACGCTGAAACAAGAGTTTTAATCGCCTGACATTTCGGATTCACCCTCGAACAGTGAGCGTGGATCTGAAACGTCGGTCGAATAAGCTCTTGTTCCAGCAATCGCTTCTATTTCTTCTTAACCAGTTTCTGAAACTTGTACCTTCGTTTGTATCGACTACTTGTGAACTTTTTGCACTGAAATCCAAAATATGGCTGGTGTCACTGCGTGTTAGTGAAAATGGCTCGTGCCTCCATGCCGCCCACCCATTAGAACACTCAGCCCTCATGTATCTTTGCCCAGAGCGTTGCACTTCTCACCAGTAGCCTAACAGATATTAGGGGAGCGTATGTCTTCATCAACATCTTAGGTCACCATACTTGGACAGAAGGGTTCAGAAGTCGATTTATACACAGTAAGTGTCGCGTCGAAGTAGTTATCTGTCATCCTTGTCCATCCTTCGTTTCGTGTAGCGACCGGATATGCACTACAGTTTGATACATTGACTTTATTACTTGCCGATGGAGTTTCTAATCACTGTGGTCTCCTTCGTCATCCTTTCATCCATAACTTGTATTTCGCATATAAGTGTGGCCTAAACCTTCAGACCAAAGGATCATATTGGATAGCTTCCTGAGCCCTGTGGTTCTCCAGCAGGCGTCAGTATTTTTTGAAGTCAACTTCACGGTTGGAGCATCTATCCACCGGATTATTGGCATGCCATCGCTTCATCGATGCCTGCAAAGTTTAGGCAATGCTTGTTAACTAGCATTTAATACAATTATAGTCCTTATTATGGTTTATATTATTAATAAGACTGCATGAGGCAGATTTTGATCTGAAACTCTCTGCCGCCAGCCATTGTTCCATTCACTCGTTTTCCAACTTAAATCGATTACCTCTACAGGTCATTAGTGACTACTCCAAGGGTAAACCTGGGTTTTACCATGGTCTACGTCAACAGACTCCATATCTTAAATTAGAGTGCAAAATTTTGAAAAAAATATTTTGAATTCATGTGAATTTTTATATCTTGTCTATGGATGGTTGAGGTCTATCTCGCCAAGCTAGGAATAATACTGCCATCAGTTCAGTTCACCAAGTCGAATCAGTGTTGGGTAAATCCTAACGTTTTTCGAAGCCTGATATATCCTAGATTAAAGAGAAACTTAATTCCTACAAGAGCGCTTAGATTTCAAACTGCAGTTTGGCGTATTCGATCATTTTTAAAAAGAATAAAGGATGTTTGACTGAAGAAAGTTTTCGTAATTTGAGAAAACTGTATTTCAGGCCTGTCGTAAGATGAGCTGTCTCAAAAGTTCTCAAATAAACGGTGAGGGAAGAGCGATCAGAAAGTTGAAACCTTTAATGGAGTTAAGAGCATAGAACTTCTCTACAAGCCGTCGCCAAAAGCTGCCGCCCTGAAGCCTCGTCCTGTGTCTTTGTTCTGGTCAAGTCAGGTCCGCAAGGACGACGTCCCGTGAGTCTGCCGTTGCTGCTGTTGTCACCGATTGATCTAATGTGTGCACTTGTAACCAGTCGGCGAAGAAGTTGCGTTGATCGACTTCAAGACCACAGGAGAGTAGTGACAAGCGTCGTATGGTACAGACAGTGAACGATCAAGAGCGTTATGCGGACAAAAGGGCAGCGACCAATGATCAAGAGTATGGAAAGCCAAAGGCCGGCTAGGAGGCTCACGCTACGTCAATTGGGGTCTCAGCCTCCTGGTCACCAGGAGGTGGTGGTACGCTTAGTTGCGGACTTTCGCAGTCACCTGCGCCGTCACCTGCCCCCAGTCCTCCTGACTCGGTAGTGACAATGGGTCCAGGTGGAGAAGGAGGAAGGCGTGCGACAGATGCTGCGCAAGTCCTCTATCAGTATAAACAAAATGTTAATGCCGTCAAAGACAAGGGAGACTGGAATGGCCATTTTTTGGCTTATTAACCGTCGTCAGCCAGTCATGCCCAACCCCGAAGTGTGGTCGGTGGCCCAGTGGTTAGAGGCGTGGACTTCCAGCTAACAGGTCGCGAGTTCGAGCCTCGGGCGTTCCACACTTCGCGGTTGGATATGACTGGCTGACGACGGCTAGTAAACCAGAAATGGTCATTCCAGTCGCCCTAGTCTTTGTCGGTAATAACATACTGCCCATATCCTGCGCCATTGTGCGGGTGATTTTTGGGCTCGAGAGAGGGAGTCCGTGAGGCACAACGGGACCAGTGAGTTCCATAAGAACGATCGGTGAGTGCCCTCCTATTGCAGTATAAACTTATTCGCGCACAAGTCATCTTCATTGCTTTCACCCTGCTGTGGGGTACACGCTGGACATCGTCATTTGCGACGGCCGAACTGTCAACAGTCGTTGACTCGATGTGGCGTGGCGACAGCAGCCGAAACACCTTTTCTAATTGAATGCGTGCGCCGCGTGTGACTCAGCTCTTCGGTCTGGCGACTCGGTGACGCCAATCGATATTTTACTCTTCACTGATTTGCCGCAGTCGGATATGCCTCAGGAGCACTTTAACACGACAGAACAGCAGAGCTGGGCTCCTGACGTGGCAGAACTGGCGGCCGCCGGTCTTGAGGCGCTTTCGCCTTCCCTATCTTACTAAATTTTTCTTCTCCCGAGTTTTGATATGGGAAATGGCAAGGATCTAGTTAAGGCTCCCAAGTACCTGCGGCATATAAAGAATGCGTACTGTGCGTGTTTAAGTAGGTCGTGTTCTACTCGATATTCTTCCTAACATGGTCGTTCATCATAGACTCTTGCGCATTCGAGTGAGGGGCTAGTATTTGACTTTCCGTTTCATAACCTACCGTGGCCTTAGATCATCAGTGGGAAACTTCTCTCTACACCGCCACACTCGACATGTTGCTATTCTACTTTCTACAGGCTCACTGAGGTATTCCTGTCAAGGTTTCGGGAATTTTTGCGCATACTGCTCGTAGCTCGTGCAGCACAAAAGAGGCCACCACTGCGTTGGATATGAGCGGTTCGGAACATCCGAGGCGTTGCCTTACTATCAAGAGACAGTTGGAACTTCGGACATTGCAGGCAACCATGACAACCAGTTTCCAGAAGGATCAGGGTTGAATTTACTTTCAGTTTAATTATATTGGGACGGACTTTCGAAGCACCTATCTCACTCGCCTCATATTTGTTGTGTGACATAGGCGAGGTTCGGTGAAGGTATCGAGGTTGTGCGTGAGTACGCCGACCGACTTTAAAAGACCCGCATTAACGCGCGTCATGCACGTGCCGTTTTTGTCATGGGGGTTGTCATGATGGTCGTAGTAAAAATAAAACGTTATGGCGGAGCAAAAACCCCAGTCAGGTAACTTCCAAGCCACGAATTTTGGCCAATCCTGCTAATTTGGAAGCGCGCCACATTTGTTGAGGCGATGGAACAGCTTCACACTGCATCCGCCGCATATAAGTGACAAATCTGATTTGAGCCCACAAAGCATGAAAATCCTTACAAAAAGTGACATGGCATAGGGCCCCATCGAAAAGTGGCCATGCTCTTATATAGGCCCCGGTTAAATCTGCTACAACAACCCAATCCATCTCGTAGATCCACACATGTACACACCTGTAGTGAGTGATCGATCTCATGAAATGCTGACTGGAATTCTGAAATGCGTTTTCGATTAGGAAGGACCACTTAGGCGCGGTTGTAATACTGATTATCTTGCGACATAATCCTAGAATATTTCGGACTCGGCAGGATGTCAGCTTTTGAACACACTGTTTTGCAATCTCCTGTAGGAACCGTACTCGGTAAAAACGATCCCTCAGGTAGCATGCATTTTTCCCACTGAGTTTCGATGATCTTGCAAATTAAAATATATTTTATAGAAACCAAAAAGATGCCTTTTCAGTCGTTTGATAGAGAATCACGTAATCTTTATACTTTATAATCGAAGAAGGTGTATAATTAGGTTTTTAAAAAGTTTATTACTACGAGATTTTTTAAGACCGCGCAATGTCCATTCATATAGCATCGTACCTGTCCGTTTACCACTGCTCCTCATGAAATGTACAACACAGTCCGCATCAATTGCAAAATTTCATGAACTCCATAGGATATCTTTTTAAAGGCATGAATGAATATATGGGTTTCGTTGCGCGGAACGCATGCACCTTGTAGATTGAAATCACTAAGTGCTAGTGTAACGAATGATCAG